CTTTTATGACACACCAAAGTTAATTAAAGATTTTTCAAAGATGGATTTTATTCTTTAGATGTACTGTAGCGATTCTTTAGATGTATTCTAATGGGCATTCCTTTACACAGTATCACTACAATATTTCGCAATATACATAGTTAAAATGTACATTTATTTTTAATATTGCATTTAAATCATCAGATTCAGTTCCCCTATTTAACATATATTAACATGAACATTAGCGTAAACTAAAATATGTAATTTTTTTTGAAAATAAAAACATATTTTACTTTCTTCTGCGAACATATTTTGCTTTTTACTTTCTTCTGATAAGTAAAGGAAGTATTGTAATCGCTAAAAATTTCGGGTTTTTTTGGACGACATCTGTATGTAAGGACAGAAAAAAGGACTCGTTTTCTCAAAACGTATTGTAAAATGGGTTTAAAATGGATTCAGAAGAGATTTTTTTCGGGATGTATATACGTACTTACGTACATACCTCTCATAACTCAAAAACGAGTAGCTTTAGAACGTTGAAATTTTGTATATGGGACTGCTTAGCATGTAGTTGTACACCTAAGTTTTGGTTGCAGTCTGCTGCAACAAAAGTATATATATATATATATATATATATATATCGCCACTCTATTACCTGGCTCGGCGAGCTCAGTTTTGTTATTCTTATATGTCGGCAAATTGTGAATTGTTTGCTTTAAAAGTGATTGAATTATATTGCTCTTATGTTCCGGTTAAGGTTTTAATGCCTCTAGTTAATCTGCATGCGAAAGTTGTAGAATTATCAACAATTTAAAAGTTGTTTAAGTGCTACTAAGCCTAACAGAGCTGCATTTAGTTACATTTACAACTCTTAGTAGAATAAATAATTTAGTCAGTGTCTTGGAATGATTTCAGTCTATTTGCTGAGTGAAACCAAAAGTAAACTTTCAGTTTTATGCAACGAAAAATCTGCTTTCTTTTCCGTTGGCCGAATTACTTGTTTTAGCGTAGAAACTCTAATTTTAATTGTAAAAATTGTTTTAACTGTATTCGTTGTTTTATGCTTTTCTATATTTTTCAATTTTTAACGAAGATATTTTGAGTTTTTATGTATTTTTGCCTTTTCGCGAAGTAAGAAAGATATCTCTAATGAAATTCGAGGAAATATGTTTAATCTAAATACATAAAAAAGTGTGTATAATTCAATAGGTCCTTCAAATAAGTCATGTGGTGCCCACATCAATTTTTTTTTTTTTTTTTTTTTTTTTTTTTTTTTTGTTTAAGAAGGATTACTTAAAATGAACTTTTTTTAATTATCAGGCCCTGATGCATATCTTTTCAAACAAAAAGTGTGCTTTATGTTTTTACATGTATTTTGCAATTTGTGGGTAATTCTTGGATTATGAAATACAAGGAAAAAATGTCACCCTATTGGTCAAAATGACGATAAATTCTGAAATAAATGGTTTTTTTGGTTAGGTTTTGTCAGTTGTATAATTATATTATATTTATTATATGTATATGTTACGCCTGCGCGCGCCTCTCATTACTAGCGTCTACGCATGCGCTTTGAGCTCTTAGAGTTTGTGACATGAGATTGTGAGCTAAGAGCGTGTGAGAGAAATCGTGGCTTCGAGTGGCCGTGAACGATGTAAATAAATAAGAATAAATTATCATATTAAATACAGTCCACTGTTCCCAATTCAGTTAACGTGTAGTGTCTGTGCAAAACATTGTCGTCCGTCGAGCCGGAGAACTATGGATTATGAGTTATTTACAAGCAACAAGTAAGTCAGCAGTTTCGATTTAAAAATAAAGTGTGATATAAATACTGTCCATTGTTCCCGATTCAATTATAATGTTTGTGCAAAGCAGTATGTATTAAGCCCAAACTGTGCTATACTAGTAAGCTCAAATAATGTAAGGCAATTTTACTAAAGCCCCTTCTTGCACTGTAATCTTTGCTTATGAAAATAATCAATGGAAGATGAGAGGAGGGCGCAAGACACATACCTGTTAACCCTCTGTTAGGCACCAGATGTCCACGTCCTCCGTCACCTGTCACCATTTAATGCAAAAGTTGCAATCAGTTCATATGTTTCCTCCGACTCCCAAGCTGGGCGTTGTTTGGCCAGGCATTTATAAATATGCGGTTTGTAAATGAGTGGAAAAAATAATTCATTTCGATGAAAATCGGAAAGCTTATACTTAATGAACACTTCAGTTAATAACATATTAATGTTTATCTTTCTCTTGTATCAGTGTCCCTTATTAGATTTTTACATAACTTAAAACACTGCACCAATTGACCGGTGGAAATAGTGAAATGCGAATGTGAATGTAATTATATGGATATGAGTTTTTAGTTAAATGTTACAATTAAGTTTTGGAAACTAAAAAAATAAAATTCTATTGTATTCTGCGTGTTATGTTCAGAAGATTCCATTTAGTGATATTATTATTTTCTTATTTTTCCATCTGCCCAAAAAGAGTGTGTGTTTAAATTAAGATATCAGTTGTTATTTGTAACAACTCTTATTTCTTTAAATAAAGCAAGATATTTTTTTATTTATCTGGATTATTCAAATTTCTTATTTTGTTCATTTATTTAAAAGCGAAGTATATCTTTCACCACAAAACCAATTCAGCAACTCAAGTATTTAGAGTAGATGTCATTAATTGTAAAACCATTTACGGGATAACCGAGACTGTACTTCACAGTATATTCAAACATGATATGTTCCTATCAGAAGATATTCAGAGATTTTAATCTAAGACCTATTCACAATTGATTGAACGACGGTATACAGCTTCTAGTTTGAAATATAACAAACTGCCAGATTTAGATAACTCAAGCTAATATGAATAACTTTCCTCAGATGACGGTAGAGACATTAGGTATTTTTTGGAAGCAGGAAAAAGGAAAAATGAGCTACGCCCTCGCCGGGAATCGAACCACGGACCTATGCAATACGCGCCCAGCGTGCAGGCCACCACACCACGAAGGCATGCCAAGAAGGCGGGAGAAATAACTTATATACTCCCCCTTTTAAAGGGCGATTGAGGTTTTTAGGGGTCCCAATTGTCAAATCCAGATGGTAGAGAATCATCATCTCCCCCATTTTTAGTTCGGGTGCCACTGTAGGGACATTAGGTACTTTTTGAAGCATGAAAGATGAAAAATGAGCGGCGTCCTCGCCGGGAATCGAATCACGGACCTCTGGAATATGCACCCAGCGTGCAGACCACACTACGAAGGCATGCTAAGAAGACGGGAGAAATACCTTATAATGTGTTTAGCCTTTGGCAGTAATGTAAACAGGTATTTTTTGTAGCAGGAAAGATGAAAAATGAGCAACGCCCTGGTCGGGAATAGAACCACGGATTTATAATTATTGCAGTATATACATTTAGTGAATTCCCTGCGGTTTATTAGTAATTACCCGTAGAGATTCTATCATTTTACGTGTTTTTTATATGTTTATTAGTAGCAATTTTAAAGGATGGGTTTATAAAGTAAATAAATTAATACTGTATTGCTTTCCATATAAGAAAATTTAGTAATATTTGAACTGGTTAACATTGTAACTGGTTAACTTGTAAAATTATATTAACAATTTTTTTGGGGGGGCAAACCGTTTTCCCCCCCTTCCGTGGCAGGGTTATTTTTTCTCATTAAGCAGTTTAAAGTAATATTTTATATTTAAAAATTTAAATTGTTTCAGTCTATGTAGTGATGCAAATTAAATGATTAAATGGTAAGGATATGCATATTTGATAAAAAATATACATACTTATATATATAGCAGTTGTAAATAAATCAAATTTTCTGGAAAGTATGCTTTCATTATTAACTAAAATATATATAGTTAAACATGCTCTTCAGTTTTCACAATAATTCTTTATTACTTTGACTATAGTTTTTAGCTTAGTTCTTTCTTCACCCAAATTTTGTCCTGAATGTGTTACACCATCGTCTTCACTGGTATGCATGCTTACAATAAATATAAAATTACTCTTTACCATAAACCCAAGAAATATTTGTAAGGTTGCTCTGAAACGGACAATTTTTCAAGCTCATGAAACTTCTTTGGAAACTGTTAGTATCCCCTTCTTAGTCAGTTTTGTGATTCAAAGAATTTTCATACTGCGTTTCCATTTTTGTAAGCCAATGTGTCCGTAAAAATATTTCTAATATAATGTGGTTTTTCTTTTCTTTCACAATTGGCGTTAGGTTGTTAAAATCTAGAAAAGTCACGAAATAGCTTTTACATGCAATCTTCTAAACTTACTTCCTTTGAATTTGTCACAGAATGTAGTTCTTGTCATGTAAATCTCCGGTTTGTGTAAAAGCATATCACTAAAGCAGCTCATTTGCATAAAACAGGCATATACATTACTGCAATGATTTTTCTGATAAAAGTAATTTCACTTCGCCTGTGTCTTGAATCCACAATCAAATAGCAACCATATAGTTGTCAAGTCATCAGCATTCATTTTCCGCTTTTTAGGAACGATACTGCTATAATACCAAACCTTTATTCTTAGATTCATAAGTGATGCACGGTGTGTTTGCGCTTTTGGATGCTCGATAAAAATAATATTGTGTTCCATTTTTATTAATTCCATTATTCTGCCTCAAAGTTAATGTACCTCAGTAGTTAGGATTTGAGTATCCCTGCACCCCGGAAGTGCAGTCGACCTTCAAAAGTACTTGGATGTAGTAGTAGGCGGTAATGTAGGCGAGACTGTTTGTCATATACCATGTTTTTCTAAAATAGCGCGTTAAATGAAGGATGAGAGGCTTGTAAAAAAAAAAAAAAAAAAAAAAAAAGGGGGGGAAATGATTTAATTAAAATTCACGAGTCGAATGTAATATGCGCATTTGAAAGGGTTGGTTTCAGTTGAGTGGGCTGGGATAATATTCTGCATTGCTAAATTAGGAACGAGATGGTCGCTTTTCCTTGAGAAAGGTTAGATCAAGGTTAAGATTTTGAGGGGGAGGGAAAGTATTTGATGTATGTTATACGTGTTTTGAAAGCGTAAACATCCTGTAAGCGCACAAGGCGAGACTTGTGAAACTTTCACTTGATCATTACATTTCGAAGCGGTGAGGTTGGTGCTATCATCCTCCATAAGGATTACAATGGAAGCTCGTAATGGTGAGTGAAACGTAAGGTTTTTTTTTTTTTGTGTTATTGTTCTTTTATTGTTAAATACTTTCTGCGATAAATGTTAAGCATAAAATTATAATTAAAATTAGTTTATTTTAGAACGCAAACGTAGATGTGTTGACACGTTGGGGGATGTGCAGCCGTCGGAAGATCTTATTTTAAACCTTGCTCCCGAGGAAGGCGAAACCTCCCGCAAAAAACTCAAAAAAATTAAAATATACATTGGAAAAAATGTTTCAATAGAAACTTGTGACTTCAAAAATGTCAATTATGTTTCATTTGTAAGGGTGTATCCCGAAACCGCCGCCACCCCCAAAAGATTTAATATAAATATGAATTGTATTGATCGTATAATCGAAGCTTTGGGGGTGATTAAGAGTCACTGTATGTAAAATTAAAAAAAAAAAAGATATCAAAATGCTAATTTTGCTGGAAAGCGGTAGTGGAAGTTAGTAAATTAATATGAATTTTATATAATATTGTAAACAAAAAAGTTCCATTATTTATTTATTATTTTTTTCAAATGATGAATTTTATTCAGTTAGCGCAAGCCCACCGAGGCTATTTGCGCACTTTAAGAACAACATTCGATGCTTCTCAGAAAGATCCGTATGAGATATTCAGAACGGCACGCCCTGCCATATACAACATTTTAAATACTAGATCGAGTTTAAGACTCAGGATTTTAATATGTTTGAAAATATGTTTTGAGAAACTGGGGAAAGATGAAAAAGAAATTAATCAGTGTTTTTTATTTTTGTTCTCATTGCGAAAGGATTTTATCCTCTAACCAAATCTACGAAAGCATTGACAGATGCTTTAAAAAGATTTTAAATTTGATAGATAATTTTGTGCGTAATGGAAGCGGGTGGAAAATAAAAAGTTAGAGTACCTTGACTTACACGTTGGAAACTATCGGGAAAATCGCGGTGGTTGTAAAAACATCGCTTTACCGACGGGATTAAAAAAATAGAAAAGCGTTGTTAAATATCAAATGTGGTGACGACAATTGTTTTTTATATTCTGTTGCCGCAAGTGTTTTTCCGAAATCCACTAGAAATCCTCAGAAGGCTTACTTGTATAAAAAGGATATATCACGTTTTAAATTAGGATCCCTCAAATTTCCCTTAGCGTTAGGCGATGTAAAAATGTTTGAAAACCTGAACGATAAGGATCTCTAAGAAGGCTTATAAAAAGGTATAAGCCGTGAAAGGCGATAGTTATCACAGAGGTTTGAAATTAATTGTATCACAGTCCTCAAATTTCCCTTTAGTTAGCGTTATTGTAACGAATGTAAAGGGTTTGAAATGTTTGAAAAATGTTCTAACATAACAACTGATAATGTATCCATAACGTATGGATATGAGGAAAATGAATATTACCTTTGCAATTAAGTGAAAAGCGAAATGCGACAAAAACAGTAGATTTGCTATATTTTCAAAAACATTTCTTTTGTATTCGAAATTTTAATCGTCTATTACACGCAAACGAAAAACGAGTAAATTTTTTTTGTAAAACTTGTTTAAGTGGGTTTCAGAGAAGGGAAACGTTAGAGTATCACAAAACTCTCTTTGCATGAAAACAAACCGCAGAAAGTTAGCATTCCTAAAACACACTTCTTAAATTTACAAATTTAATGAAAATGCATTATCATCCTTTTTGTGTCTTTACCGATTTTGAATGCCTCACGCGCAAGATTCAAACTGCGTTTCCTTCTCCGCAACAGAGTCATACTACCCCAATTGAACAGCATATTCCTATTAGTTATACCCTAATAGTTACTGACGTGGAAGACAAGATTATTTTCATGAATATTTTTGCGGAGAGAATGTAATGGAACATTTTTTCACAACGTTGAGCGAAATCAAATCTAAAATTTTGCAAAAGATGAAAGAGTGTTTACCGATGCAGGAGACGTCGGAAAAAAGTTACGATTCAAATATATGTCATATATATGTTTGAATCCTTTCTTAGAAGGCGATGTTCGGGTCAGAGATCACTGCCACTGGAGTGATGGGCATGTGAGAGGTCTTGCACATCGCTCCTGTAATTTGAATTTTAAAGTGTCAAACTACATTCCGGTGGTAATTCATAATTTCAGGAATTATGATAGTCACCTGTTACTAAAACACATGCCGAAAATGTATGCAAATAAAGTTAACATTATTCCGGTGAATTTGGAAAAATTCACCATGTTTACACTAGATGAAATGAAATTTATTGATTCGTTTCAATTTTTAGATGCGTCTTTGGACACTTTTGGTGTCGAATTTGAAAACGTCACAACATGAATTTAAATTGTTTAATGCATTTTTTGAGAAAAATCCCCAACGAGAATTGTTATTGCGGAAAGGCGTATTTCCTTACTCATATTTTGCGTCAACATCGGTGTTGGATGAAATTTCGCTTCCACCGCAGAGCGCGTTTAATAATGTATTACAAGGAGAAGCAGTTTCCGACGAAGATTATGTACATGCCACACACGTGTTTCATTCGTTTGGATGTAACACTTTTGCCGATTACTTAGAGTTATATCAAAATACAGATGTTATTTTGCTAGCCGAAGTATTTTTATCCTTCAGACGCACCGCTCTAAAATATTACCAGTTGGATCCTGTACATTTTATAACGGCTGCCGAATTAACGTGGAATGCCGGACTGAAAGCGTCTAAAATTGAATTAGAGCTTCTAGGAGATGTGAATCAATACATTTGGTTTGAAACCCAAATGCGAGGAGGTATTTGTTTTCTGGGTAGACGTTATGCTCTTGCAAATAATCCTTATATCCCCGAGAGTTATAAACCCGATTTACCACACACCCTATCTTAGCCTTAGACGCAAATAATCTATACGGGTGTGTAATGAGCCAGCACCTGCCATTGGGAGGTTTTTACTGGTTAAAGGAAATGAGGTGGAGGCGTTTGATATTTTGTCTTGTGTTGAAGACGGTGATGTGGGGTATATTATCGAATCCGATCTGTTATATCCCTCCCATCTGCATGACCAACACAATGATTTACCGCTAGCACCGGAACATTTTGAACTCACTTTTGACTGCTATCGCCTTATGCCAAAACCTGAGCAAAAAAAGTTAGAGACGACACTTCCATGCAAAAAATTATTACCCAATTTTTTTGAAAAAAAAAAAATTACATCGCTCATTATTTAAATCTAAAGTTTTTACGTAGAACAGGGTTTAATAATTAAGAAAATTCATAGAATTTTAGCTTTCAAACAACGAGCGTGGCTTAAAGAATACATTGCTTTCAATAATATGAAAAGACAAAATGCGTCTAGCGAATTTGAAAAATCTTTCTTTAAAAAGATGAATAACGCTTTCTATGGAAAAACCTGTCAAAATGTTAGGAAACGTATTCGCGTACAGGGGCGTTTTTAGTGAGGAACAATGCCAAAAAATTAAACAGTCCTCTGCTGGAATATTTTGAAATAATTAATGAAAATTTTTCAGTTTTCAAAATGAAAAATCCAATTTGTGTCTAGATAAACCGATTATATAGGTTTCAGCGTTTTAGAATTAGCGAAGTTGAACATGTATAAATTATTCTATTCCCATTTTAAACACTTTTACAAAGAAAAATGCGAGTTGTTATACACAGATACAGATTCTTTGTATCTCTATATAACAACTGAAGATGTATATAGTGATTTAAAAACGAATTTTTAAATTTTGGATTGCAGTAATTTCGAACCCAATCATATAATGTTTAATGAAGAGAACCGTGGAAAACTGGGATTTCTAAAAAGTGAGACACTCACCCCCATATCGGAATTTGTGGGTTTGAAATGCAAAATGTACGCATTTCGTTTCGGTGATACTGTTAAAAAGACCGCGAAAGGAATCAAAAGGAGCGCGCTCAAAAACATTGGATTTGAAACGTATAAAAACGTTTTCGAAAATGCTTCCCTGATTAGGAATTCTCAATATTCAATCATTTCAAAAAAAAGCACGAACTGCAAACGATTTTTCAAAAAAAGCTAGCCTCTCGGGATATTATGACAACAAAAATTTGTTAGATGATGGAATTCAATCATTGTCTTATGGTCACTATAACACGCGTGAAGAAGACATGAATTAAAAAAAAATGATGGAACTTTTTGTAACATTTTATTGTAGAGTGTGACATTGTATTTTTGCAACTTATATTTTTTTATGCTAATGATCGACAAAAACAAAAATGTGTTTCCCTCCCATAGAATACCCAGAAGATATGGCTTTATTTCAACCAATTTCTTTGCAAGATATGTGTATTCAAACTATTTTATCTTCGATATTATGTATAGCTGAACTGTATAATGTAGAACTGAATATCGTATGATTTAAGAGATATAATAGAGAAAGGTCGATTCTGGATTGATTTTGAAAGTAGTTTCTCCTTAGAGAACAGAGATGTATTTTGGGATGAAAGTTTAACTCTCTATGAAAGAATTCGATTTAATAAGTGGTTTTCTAAACACAATTTATTGCCTGGTTTTTCTTTGATGATGATGTTATATTTCTTTTACACCTAAAGATTGCACATATCACATTTGTAAAACATGTAATTGTTCAAAATAATGAGTCTAATATTTATTTGAAAAGCTGCAACAAATGTTTAGAATTGTGGTTACGATGTCAAACAGACACTACCAGAACGAAATGTAAAATTTTCAGAAAATTCAATCATTTCTTATGTTATAATGAAAGGGATACCCTTTCTTATATGCGAAATGAAGATAACTGGTGTGAGATAGTAAGCAAAGTTCTCTGTATTCATTTGCGACGAGAATTCATGTTGCTTTCTTTGGAAACTTGATACACGAAGTCCCCGAATTAACCATGATCATGTATAATAATTGCTATGGAGGTTTTGTAGAAAACTTTTCTTTTAACTGTCAAATATGAACAAAATACTGATACATTATGGCAATATTCTGATTAATCATTTTTATTTTATAAACACCCTGAAATTTTTGTTGATATGTAATGATTCCTTTATGTTGTAACAATGTGAAATGTACTTTTTGTTTATTTGATTACTTATTGTATTATCAATATAACATCTCACATGGTGTAATGAAATGGGTTAGTTTCTATATAAATTTACAACGAAAAATCGTTTTGATTTCTTTAAATGTTCATTTTAATTTCTGATACTTATATGCGAAATGAAGATAATTGGGTGTGAGATATGTAAGCAAAGTTCTCTGTATTTCATTTGCGACAGGAATTTATGTTGTATTTTTTTGTAAAACTTGATACACGAATGTCTCGAATTAACCATGATGACTGTTATAATAATTTATGGAGGTTATGTAGAAAACTTTCTTTTAACTGTCGAATATGAATAAAATGACACATTAAGGCAATTTGATTTATCATTTTTATTTTATAACCCCCTCCCTGTATG